GGGGCTCCCCGACGTCCATGCCCCTTGGCTTTTTATCGCCCCTGCCCTTGACCACTCGATTCGCGACGCCGGGGCCGCACGCGGGCGTTTCCGCGGGCGTCCCGGGTCGAGCCAAGGCGGCGGCCCCTCTCCCGGCCGTTCCCGTCCTCCGAGACCCCCATCTGCTCAGGGCCTCGTCATGAGCCCGAGGGAGAGCACTTTGCCCGGATCCTCCAGGCGCTGCCCACGGTGGGGACGCCATTCAGGGGGTAGCCACCTCACGGCTGTGTCCCCTCAGGTGCCAGGACACTTGACAGCGACCTGTCTAGAAGGAATGTGAGAAGGAAGGCCGAGAAGTCTGGAAAGAAAGCCAGTCTCCCTTAAACTTGGGGAAAGTTTCCCTCAAAAGTGAACTGAAGGGGAAGAGATTAACAGCCATCAGACGAGAGTTTTGGTGGACAGGAAGGAACACTGCCTTTACAGGGGATCCCGCGGTTTGCACCAGGCCGCCTCCAGTTGGGCAGGTGTCCTGGCGTCCCAGGTGCAACCTTCCGAGATCCCGGAGCTCCAAGGAAACCCAGCTGCAATTCCAGGCCTCTCTCTTCACTGGGCCTCCAGCCAGGCGGCCGCCCTGCTCCCCAAGTGGAAGATGAGCAGAGTGAATAAATGGCCCCAGTGAAACTTAGGAGCGTTGACTCCTAAGAATAAAATTTACCAGGCATGAGTGCCCCTTTCTGCTTACACACTTTCTGTTTATTGTGATCACTTTTTTTTTTTTTTTTTTTAGTTTTTGCTATAGGGAAACGTACTTGCCAGAGAGAGAATGGAAGTGAGCAGTCACCCACCAGGGGATGGCCATGCCACGGCTGCTTCTCCTTTCTCCTGGGATTTTGGGCACCCACGCACACATCTACCAGGCATGTTTATCAAGCTGCGGGTCTAGGACTTGGAGTGGTTAGATGTCCATGTGGGATCCAGTTTTTTTAACCACCATGCCACCAGCTAGCCCAACACTTTTTAATTTTTAAAAATTTGCTAGGGTGTGGGACCAGCAGTTAGCGTAATGGCTATGTCGCTGGACTCCCATGTAGTCAACCGTGCTTTGAGTCCCGGACCCGGTGGCTTGAACTCACGCTGGGCATGTGTGCGTGCATGCCCAAGATCCTGAGAGGAGAATGGAGGAGAAGGGATTGCGGCGTGGCCATCCCCCCGGGGAGGTGATTTCTTGCTTTCTGTCTCTCTTTCTGGTGAGTGCACACGCCCTATAGACACAAAAAAAATTTGCTAGGGGGTGTGTGCGCGCGCGCTCTCCCTGGGGAGAGGGGGGAAAATGTGAAAGCACCCCCACCTCCTGTGTGGGGAGTGGCCGTGCCACAGTACCTTTTTCATTTCTCCTCTCGTAAGTCTGGCCGTGCACACGCACACGTTCCTTGTGTGTGTTTCCAGCTGTGCAGCCGTGAGACCTAGCTGCTTTAGCCACACCACGGGCTGGCCCATACTGCGGTAGTTTTAACAGCCAGAGTAACTATGGACAAGTGTGTTGTTTCAGGCAAGACCAGATTCCCACTAGCATGTATGAGGCTAGGCTCTCACTGTTAGTGTTGGGTCTCAGATCCCATTTCTCATTCTGAGGAGTTAAAACAGATTTTCCATGGTGCAGTGGCATGCCTCAGCTGAGCTTGGCAAGCCAGAACCACGTGGGAGGCCCAGTGAAGTTCTGGACTAACTTAGAGGCTGGATGAGGTGGTATGTATCTGTGATCCCAGTGACGGGGAGGCTGAGGCAGGAGGATCCTGACAGACTGTTTAAAAAAAAAGTTGGGGCCAGCAGGTGATGTGGCGGTTGGGGTGCTGGACTCCCATATGATCCACTGCTGTTGAAGTCCCAGACCTGGCAGCTTGCTTTCTTACTTTCCCCACTCCCATTTTTATGGCCAATTTAAATAATAATAAATAAAATTAAATATATCTTTTTTTTTTTTTTTGAGAGGTGTTCGCTATAGGGCACGTGCGCTCGCCCGACAGACAGAGAGAGACATAGAGACAGAAAGCGAGAAGTCACCCCTTGGGGGAATGGTCACGCCGCAGTCCCTTCTCCTCCATTCTCCCCTCGGGACCTTGGGCATGTAGGCACACACGCCCGGTGTGAGTTCTAAGCCACCGGGTCCGGGACGCGAACCGAGGTCGACTACGTGGGAGTCCTGTGATATAGCCATTACGCTAACTGCTGGTGAACCCCTTAAATAAATCTTTTTAAAAAAAAGTCGAAAGCCAGTAGGTGTCATGAAGCTTAAGGCACTGGCCTCCCACATGGCCAGTGGTGGTTTGAGTCGCAGACTTGGTGGCTTGAAAATCACGCCAGGTGCATATGCATGTGTACCCACAATGGAGGAGAAGAGGTTGTGGTGTGGCCATCCAAGAGTTTTTTGAGAGGTTAGAAAGAAATCTTTTAAAAGGGCATAACTGATTTGTATCTCAGCTGTTCAATTCTTCCTTGATGTATTTTTGGCTTTTTTTTTTTTTTAATAATTATTTTATTTAACTTTATTTTTAATTTGACCAGAGAGGGAAGAGGGAGAAAGAGAAAGCAAGCCATCAGGTCCAGTACTTAAATTGCCTTTGGCCATGTGGGAGTCTAGCGCTCTTAACCGCCTCACCACCTGCCGGCCCCTGGGGTGATTTTCTCATAAATAGGGAAACTGGGTCAGTCTTGTACTGCAGCAGTTAAGTGCTGTGCAGAGGAAGCCGGATCAGGGTTTGTATCCTGGCCCTAGTGGCTTGAAAAACAAGCTGTGTCGGGACCAGCAGTTAGCGTAAAGGCTATGTCACCGGACTCCCACGTAGTCGACCATGGTTCACATCCCAGACCGGTGGCTTAAACTCATGCCGAGCACATGTGCGTGCGTACCCAAGATACCGAGAGGCGCATGGAGTATGAATTGCGGCATGGCCATCCCCCCTGAGGGGGTGATTTCTCACTTTCTGTCTCTCTGTCTCTGTCTGGTGAGCGCACGTGCCCTATAGCAAAAACTTCTTAAAAAAAAAAAAAAGCTGTGTGTGTGTGTGCACATGCGTGTGTGTGTGTGCGTGTGCGCCCGCGCATGCCCAGGATCCAGGTGGGATGGAGAATTGGAGGAAAAAGGATTTAGGGTATGACCAGGTCCCACTGAGGGGTATTCTCTCTCTCTCTCTCTCTCTCTCACTCTCACTCTCACTCTCACTCATGCTCATGTACCTTCTGGCATTAAAAACAAAACCCTCCAGAAAACTTAAAAAAGAGAAAACCCCAACTTGCCAAGAGGCTGAGTGTACATGTCACCAGGCTGTCTCTTCTGTGTATTTGTTTCGTAGCCGGCATCAGAGGCTAGGCCAGAACTTCCTTTGGGTCAAGTTATAACCGACCCTTGTTACATATCAGGTGTGGCTTTGGAAGCCTGTGTGCTGTTTTAGGGATCACTTAGAATGCCCTTGTAGGCTTCAGAGGCCTGCAGCTTGACCTTTGCTCTTCCGGGAGAAGAGGTGGCATGTTCTTGTTCCTGAGTGGTGGATTGAAGGGACACTGACAGTTTCCCTGGGTTGTAACCTGCTTCAGATTGGAGACGTTTCAGACATGTCCTATATTGTGAAATGTTGTACGTAGGTGTCCACTCCAGCTGAAGTGCTCTGGCAGTCAAAATTCAGAGTCCACTGTATTTGCCACAGATAAGTGAGAATAGTGAAGATGTTAGTATGGTTAAGAAGCAGAAAGAATATTTTATGCTCTTGACAATTGGGGTATTCATGGGGATTACTTAAAATCAGAGTCTGTTTTTTTTTTTTTTTAAGAATTATATAATTTATTTTATTTGTTTATTCATTTGTTTTAATTTGACCAGACACACACACACACACACACACACACACACACACACACATATTTTT